AGAAACCGATACCCCAATCTAGGAACTGCCAAGGAGAAAACCACAGCCCCACCAGCACTGGCAGGGCAAGCTACTGTATATAAACAGGGAGCAAACCCCACACTCCCTCACACTGATGATGTTACCTAGTTGGGTAACAAAACGTCTGCAAGAAAACAACCCAGCTCAGAGAGCACCAAGGACTCCACAAATCTATTTGGCTAGCATACTTTAGTTATGTAACATACCATATTATGGCTTAATGTGAATGTTCACCCATGGAAAGACAAGAACAAAACAGGCTCCCTGGATCAGGCCAGCCTTCTGAGTCACCCTGTGGCCAACTGGATGCATTTCGGAAGCTCATATGGGTGGACTGGAGGGGGGACTGTCCCATTCGCCTGTCCCTTCCCAGAACTTCAGGCTTCAGGTGGTAGCCACGGGCCATCAGAATTAGCACCTGGTCCTCTCTGAACCTGCCCATTCCTCTTTACAAACCATCCACATTTTCTGCCATGTTGCCCACAAAGTCCACAGGCCATGCACTGAATGAAAACGAATTTCTTTCTGTTGCTCACAAATTTTCCTGCATTTAGGGTCAGCGGATGACCCCAACTTGAGTGCTTGAGTGAGGCGAAGGTGTTGACCCCAGGGAGACCCAGCTTCAGCCATCCTCAACACCAGAAGCTCTCCGTCACCCTCCTTCAGCCTGATGGGCCTCACAAAATTACTCTTACAGAGAATAAAATAGGAGCAAATGCCATGTACTCTGTCTTCAGCTCTGGAACAAATAAGTACAATTTTATAAAACTAATAAATATGTTCTAACTTTGGGAGAGAAGGAGAAAACGGCTCTTCCTACAGATTATTTTCACCATGCATCTTGTTATCTTCCTCTGTATTTTATCCTGAGCCCCAGTTTGGAGTAGTGGGGAAGGGGCTGGGCTAGAAACTGGGAGACCACGAATTCTAGTCCTCCCTTAGGCTTTCGTGCTGGGGGACTTTGAGCCAGTCCCACTCTCTCAGCTTGGCCCACCTCACAAGGTTGTGGGGAAAATCGGAGGCTGGGCCACCTTGATTTGCACAAAATAAAGGCAGGGCATCCACTGAAATTTTAAACAAAATATACAGCTCCCATGCATTGCAAGCCAGAGAACCCCGTTCATACAATACATGCATGAGCTGCTCAGCTTTAACCTTGTGAAATACCCGCAAAGAGACCGAGGATGCAAAGGAAGAGAGTGCGAGATCCATCAGCACAGCACCCTTGCACGTGAGCATGGCACTGTATAAAATATAAAATTGTGTATATATAGAATATAAAATTGTGTATCAAAATAATGCCCTTCAGCACCTTGGCGTGTGCCGCGATTCTCGGAGTTGCCTCCCTCCCCTTTCCTTCCCCGCTAATGCAACCTCCCTCCAGCTGGGGCGGGGGAACGGCAAGCCCCAGAGCCCCCAGCCCGCTGTGGATACTGGGCATTGTAGTGCCCACCCAGATTGGGGAAAAGCTGGCCCATCGCCTGATCTGTGACATCACAGGCTACATCACAAGGGCTGCCTGGAATGGTGGGAGAATCTTTCTTTTGCCTCGGCCGCCGCTCTCGGGAGGGTGGCTGGCCGGCCTGGGTGGGGAAACCATGATGCCGTGATTCGTCTCTTTCTAAGCCCCCGTCTCTCCCAAGCCGAGATCATGGCGGAACGTGAGTGGAAAAGCAGAACAGCCCGGTGGGGCGGGGAGGATCCAAGTTTGGAACTTGCTTGGGAATTTTGCAGGCCTCGCCCTTATTAAACTCGTTCCTTTGCCCATTCCAGCATCTTCTAACAGGCTGGGGAAGGAACAAACCCCCCGGTTCCACGCGTCCTTCCTACTCCAGCCATCCAGCCCGTTTCTCCAGTCTGGATGACTACCCAGACCCAACCTGGCTGCCTTTTTCGCCACAATGGGAATATGATTTGCCGTTGCATTTCTCACAATGTTTTTTGGGATTTCCTAGTGGTGTCCCCTCCAGGGATTAACCCCGCCCAGTTCAGCTGCTACCACTGATTGCAGTTCCTACTTAAACCAGCCCTTCTTATTCTGGAACCATGAGGACTGGTGTCCTGCTGTGTTTACATGACAGCTCAGAGGGAGGGCAGGTGCTGAAAACCCACAACCCATCCTTGACCCCCACCCCCCCGCAGCCCCCCAGCAAGGTGGCTTGGAACAAGCCTTCATCTTCTGAATTCCTGCAGAGTTGCGTTCAGGCAACGCGTGCTTTTGAAACAGCCGCCCAGGCTGACGGCAGAGAGCCGAACTTGGAAGAGAATTGTGGAAAGCAGCGATACGTTTTGTCCTGGAGTCCTGAGCTGGACGGTGGATAGGTTGAAGGCAGGGCGGGACATACAAATGTCTGTAATCAATAAACGGATTGAATTTTTTTAATCCAGTTTGGACCTCGGAAGAATACAAGATGATCGCCAGTGCCTCGGATCCTGCAACACAAACCATGTATTTGAGGGAGGAGAAAAAGGTATTCCCACTTTTTTGCTTTAGGTCGGATAGTTGGCGTGAAGGAGTTGAAGAAAGAGGATCCAGAGCAAGAATGAGTTTGTTGCCAGGGACAACAATACTAGTTTATCATTGCAACTCCTCTGGCTGTATTTTGGACTTCTGTAGTTTCGATATTTCTAATAACGTCCACGACAAACACAACAGGGTGTTTGTCGTGGACATTATGAGGGATATCCAGACCACCAAGGACTGAAGTCCAGCAGATTCCTTTGGCAATGAATTTTGTTTAATATTTATTTATTGGCTCAATACGCGAGGCGCTTCAATTGTCCAGGCAACTCCGGGCAACATCTGGCATATTAAAACCATAAAACAAGTAAAAAAGGGTAACGAACAACAAAATCCAACATATATTCCTGCATCGGGGTCAGAAACCTCCAGAATCAAGGAATAATATCCCAAGCTCCGTGTGGGGTTATTTATTTATTTTATTTAAAAGATTGGTATGGCCACTTGTCTTAGACAACTCCGAGCAGTAAAACCGGTAACTATAAAACATAACTGAAAAACAATACAGGTAATCGGCGGGTTAAAAATGCCTGGTTTAAAGACGACCCATAATTAAGAACCCATAGGTAAGAACAGAGCCTATTGTAGCAAAATTCAAGTTAAATACACAATGGTTTGAGTTCATTAGACAATACTACTCATACCGTATTATACAATAATACTGTTC